ACGTGTTCATGATATATTCACAGATTTGACGTCATTCATCGAGCGCTATTCACTTTACACCATGTGACTGACATTAACTAACACCAGAGATCGTTTAAACTCTTCCTAGTTTCCGATGATTTATACGTGTCGCGGTGACGTGAATAATTTCAATGATTTCCTTCGGAAAATTCATTGGCCGATACGTCGAACGAATCTCGATCGAATCGTTCGCTCGAAATCGACGTTGAAAAATCTTGAGAAAAAAAAAAAAATAACTGTTTCAAAACGGTTTTCTCACTATTAGATTATTACTATAGATTAAACTATAGATTAGATTATACACATTCATTAATTACAATTCGTTCGATCGACCATTGAAACGCAATGTTCACAGTCGCTAAAAATTTCAATTTCGAGAAAACGAAAAAATCTAACGCTATGTCGTAAAAAATTCATGCAGCACGATATTGAACAAAAGTCAACGCACGTTCTGTGGTTTTATCGTTGAACTTTGGGTATCCACGTCAATGGTACCACATTATTCGTATGCATTTCATCTATCGCGATTACAACTTCGCCTCTTATTGATATAATTCGACATTTGGGCGCAAACTTTATCTCCCCTCGTTTTAGACAAAGTCGTTCAGCATTTCGTTTCTATTTTAATGCCTCGAACATAAAACTGCACGTTGACCTCGAGCAACTTTCTAAAGGAAAGATTTTATTCTCTTAGGAAGTTGAGGTTTTTCCCTGAAATCACGATGACGTCACGTAACATGAATTTTCCTTTTAGTCATTCTATGGAAGTGCGTGCAGGGCGATTTATCGCCGAGCAGAGATAGAGGGAACCCGCGTCTCATCTGAAATAGGAATACGAAGAAACCTTCGTGGTGATGCGTGTTTCAGCAAAAATGAAGATCTTTGACATTATTTCTTTTCCCGATTTGAGAGTAGGTTGACATCATCGTACTCACGACACGAACAAGCTCTCCTTTTTTTTTTATTCCGCCGATCCTCATTATGTCAGATCATTTGCCGTGTTCGGTAAAAAAAATCTTAATCTTCCATACATATTCGGCGGTATTCAGTTGATTAAACGGATAGCAGATGCAATGGAATTCCTGAAGTCAGGTGGAGGAAATATAGGTGGTTGGGGAATTTCTTGAAATTTGAAGTACCAAGCAAAACTAAAATATTGTAACAAAGAAAAAGAAAAGGTGATAAAAATATTGTAGCTACTGTAAAAAAAACAACAACAACCTTGTATTTATGTAATAAAGAAGTTTAATATCCTAACCAGATAAGACAGTAAACGTTCTGAACGATTGTACACTTCAAATAATCCAAGCGTATCTAAAAAAAAAAACCAGGAATATTAACGAAACATGTGGATTAATAAATCGAATAAATATGTATATTAACGGGTTTTGAAATGGCAATTTCATTATACGAGAAAGGATATTCTTTGGCTGAACGTTCGAAACTCATACTCTATTGATAGTTTTTTGGCAATTAAATATTTTAACGTGACTTTTTTGCTTCGTTTCAACATTTCGGTAGAACTTGGAATTCTACCGCGTCACGGAACGTATTTAATTAATATCGAACCCAGCCTGACCTATTTTCAATCTATATGCGTAAATGAATTTATCTTGGAAAACACTTCAAGTTGAAAAAATGCAACACGTCTAGAAGGAACTCGAACAGATTATTAGTTTTTCAGAAAGCAATCAATAAGTGGAAGTATTAAGAATACTGTAAGATCGTTTAAGTTTGCTTTTTTTTTTCAAACACACGTTATATTTACTCGTATGTTACATAAATTATCAAAAAATTTCTGAAAACCAGGCAAACTTGTTATCTTGGGGAATTATAAATATCAAAAGTGGTTAAAATTTTTTAAATACACACAATTAATCGCTGCTTTTATCGGTGCTAAAATAAAGGAACATATACTTTTAAAAGAAGATAAAAAATTTCTGTTTTCTCTAAAAATAAATAATTTTCTAGTAAATTTTTTCCAATTGTTTCTCTTCACGTATCTGTGATGTTAAGTAGTGGAATTGAAATTCTCAATTTGACGCATTTCTCGAAATATTCAAAACGATTAATTTTCTGGACAAATAAAATTTTCAATGATACTACAATGATACAATTTCATTGATACTCCATGCTTCTAATCTGATATGAAGACACCGAGTACAATTGCACAGAAATTTTATCATTGAAAAATAATCCTAAAATCTTTTATCAGAATCTGCGCAGACACACGAACGTTAATCTTGATCAGATCAAAATGTATTAAAAATTTATTCGATTAATTGTTCGTAACATTATGTATAAAGCCCCGATAGCGCTCGTTATCTCTGATTGCATAACTAACCAGTAAGTGAAGGGCATTACCAGATAGGATACACCCGCGAACTACAATTATGTAATTGATTTCGCGCCATATAATCGTCAAATGGCGCTAAAATGACCGAGAAGAGGGTGTCACGCATGATACAACCTTTATTAACCTTGAAATACAATTGTCTTAACGACAACTGTACGTTTGCCTTTAACTTCGCTTCGTAATTGCAAATCCCAAATTTGAAGTTACCAGTAGAAAAACGTTAGTGAAATTCGTTTAATCCATTTTATAATGCTCTACCGTTGACAAGAAGAGACACTTATAATTTACTCTAACCGAACTGTGAGTATTCTACATAAATTATGAGGACGTAATCTTTTTCTTTTTTTGCTTAAATTTTTAATTGCTATCTATAAAACGTGCGCTAATCGATTCTTCTATGCTTAGGCAAATTAGCCTTGAAAATTTGATTATACCGAGATATGGACGGTAACAATTCGAGTTGAGTTAAGCAAATAATAGTAATAAATGCTTTTACTCTGTATAAAAAAAGAAAAATAAAACGGTCCTGAGAGCAGCGTGTTGCGCGATCCGAAGGTCGCATTCATATATCTATGATATTAGATAATCAGTGAGCCATCTATAAGTTGGACGAGGAGTTTCCGAATCTGCCAAAAGTTACAATAGACGCACGCAGAGTTTGTACTAAACCTATCCACTCAAGTTTAATAAAGTCGAGCAATGGTGCGTTATCCTATGGGCAAAAGGAGCAATTTCCCGGGGCCTCCACCAACAAGGGGGGCCCCAAACCAATCTTTTATAACCTCATTCACTGTACATGGGGCCCCCAAATTCAAATTTGCCCGGGGCCTCATGAAGCTATAACGCGCCACTGAAGTCGAATGATTGAACCAACGATTTAGCTGAACGTTAAAACGATGCTAATAATATTTTTCAAATTGCACCAATTTAAAAATATACCCACTTCCCTTGATAAAATAATATTAACATATAATGCATTAATTATTCGTAGTAATTTAACGCTGTAAGAATTTAACGCTACACGAATAGGACGTATTACAACCGCATATGTCGCCTACTGCACGATAGTATAGATGAAATTTGGTTAAGTTTGTAGAATGATATCAGCTGAGAGCTACATTATCATTCCAAGTTCGGTCGATAAGCAGGTGTTTTGCCAGGAACAGGTCACGAAGGAACGACCAATATGGATCAAGAAGGACGGAACACGTTTTGACCTCGAATTCAATCTAAAATTATCGTACCTTGCGAAATTATAATGTCGTGCACTCCTCAATGGGCATGTCTACCGACGTAAGAGATTCTCAACTATTTCGTATATACATTGTGTGGTATTATGACCTACAAATGTGATTTCGTGGCCTGACAATTTGATACGAAACCATTTTGGTTAAGCTATGTATATCCAAGCTTGGCCATGTAAACGCTACAGCACAACAGAAAATTCACTGACAGCTCTCGATTGTTAGCAGATTGACCTTTCGTTTTTTAGTATTGATGCATGAAGTGAAGATTTTCCTTTCCTTCTTCCTATCTGATACACAATCACGAAGGATTCGATATTTCAATCGTTTAGGGTTAAAAGTATGTATATATTGTCAATTTTCGTGCAGCGTCCATTCATCCGTTTTGCAAGCGTTTCAAGTCCATTTTTTCTACCAACTGTTTTACGATACGAGTGCACATTCACGTGAAAAATTTTACATTTCAACTTGACACTTTCATTAATAAACAGTTACGAGCAAAAAGCAACATATATACAAACAAAAGTTTAAATAATTTAATTTTTATCGTGGAATATTTAAAAACCATTTATCATGATCACCGAACAATTAGTCTCGTCTGATTTCTAATTTATAACAAAAAATAGTGAATAACCGCGCGCCTTCTAAAAATTGATTATGTAACTGCTGTTAAACTTAGCTAAATTAATACCAAGTTCTGTCGGTCAGGTAAACCCTGTATCATCCACAATAAGATTTCACGTAAATTAAAACAATAATTGAACAGTTTAAAGCCACTTTAGCATTCACATAATATTTTACATGGTTACTAAATTCGACGAGTCATTTGAGTAAGATTTTTTCGCATTAGAGATGTTGCCCCGAAATAATGTGCATTGTTGGAGCTTCGCAAAGGTGTTTCTAAGCACACGCTCGATACGTCAGAAACCTTCGATTCAAAACCTTTCACAGCTAGACTTATGTCCACCTAATCAACAAATGCGATCCAATATCATTTTCGAATTTTATTAATGTGAACAATTTACTGCGAATTTTCGAATTTGTATACCAACAGACTAATCGTATTATAGAACAGTTACTAGACTATCGGTCGATAGAACGCCTCTACTTGATACCCAGAATCGCAGCAGCGTCTTGGCTCTTAACAATATGCAATATTCTGGTACTTTGAAAGGGATAATTAATAAAACATATTTATTCTTGTATCATTATCTATTAAAAAATCTTCACTGTTGTTAAGAAAAATGATAATACACGTTAAACACCTGCTTGCTGTTCGAATTTCGCACCGGAAAAACGTGCAGTGGTTTGGGAATTATTCAAATATCATATTGTACACCAAAACCGATCAATTTTTAATAAATTCGTTTAGCACGCACCTGAAGTTCCAAACAACGTTTTGGACTGAAACGGAAGAGTGCCATTGTTCTTTATATCCTGGCTTATGGATCCTTTCTCTTTCTTGTTACAGTCACACCAACTAGCCAACTGACCACGCGGAGCTCTGGCGCCCAACTCAACTAACTTTACTGTTTGTTCGTCACGGATATTTCTACGACGCATGCGTACAATTACAAGTATCCTCAAAGGATCATCTGTATCTATAAATTTGCCACGTTATGTTCAAAAAAGGTTCCGAAATTAATTTTACAACTATTATTAGCGCAGGCTTTAAGGAATTAATTGGTCATGTTTATCCACCTTATTTTATAAAATAATGAGAATATATAATGAACTTTAATAAAGATTTCGTATCATTTTCACCATAAATAAAATGTTTTAGTACTTCAGTACCAATTTATTATAGGGAATTTTAACGATTGGTATTTAACATGGCGCGCAATATGGATGCTTTTAAATGTTTCGGAATATATTTGTTAACAATGTTATATGTAAATACATAAAGTCGTGTAGTTGTAATCATTTTTTAATATATTTTTAATATAATTGTTTAATCATTACTAAAAT